GAAGTTTCATAAGACACGAATAGCTGCTTGGGCACTTTTTTACTAAATTTATTAATTTCGTCATGCATTAATGAATAAAGAACGCTCCAAGTCCATAAATAAATTAAAAGTGCATAGATATGTATCAGGAAAACGCCCAGATTATGCTCCAACAGCTAGCTCTGACGAGGAATCGGAAGAAGATTTTTCTTGAAAAATGTATTACAAGGCTAGTGCTGGGTGGCGATGGAGAAACATGATGCTGAAGCATGTCATTCAAAGTCTAGTAATGAAGAAGATCCACGATCAGGTCAATTAACATCGTTTAGAACGACAGCAAGAATGGAAGTAGAAATACGTGCTGAAAGGCATCGTAGAATCCATGAGCCTGGAATCCTGAAGCCGAACCAATCGAAAGATTTAGAAAAAAAATTAAATTAGAAAGCTCCGATTCGTCAGAAGAACGAAGAATTATCTGACTCAGAAATCGAAAGACGACGAGACGCTCTTAAACAACGACCTTTTATCAAGAAGGACAATGAAGAAGTTATGACACATAAAGATGAAGAAGAAATGTCAGGATCGAGTTCTGAAGAATACTGAAAATCAGTTGAGAAAAGAGACACTCTCTTTTCAAGGGTAGTATATAAACAAAACAATATTTGTGCCAACAATATTTGTTCAACGTTTACTTGATCGGAATGATTCCAAACATTGTAGGAGTTGCTAGCTCCTAACAAATTCATGTTTTTAAGATAAACACCAATATAGCTTCAACGGAATCAGCTATCGTTTTATCTGGAATATTTTGAATGTTTATAAAATGCTCAACTCCTGTAGAACCTGTGGGATTTATCCATGAAGAAATTTTATTTAAAATTCATTGCGAGTTTCATCAGATATTATACCTTGAAATTGTTCGGATTGAGGTATATTAACTTCATATAACACTTGGCGATTTATTTTGTGAACGTATCATTTGTTGAATTTCTTGAGGTGTACAAAAAGATGGTGAAATAAAATTACTTTTTGGTACAAAGTCTTCTACTTTTAATCTCCCAGGAATTCCTTTATTCACTCCACAATAATATAAATATCTATTGCCTATGATTTTTCCTTTATATCCTGTCAATCGACCTTCAGGTTGATAAGCGTATTGGTTCGAATAAATACAAGAATGATAATTTTAAAAATGAGTCTCCTATGTTTCCAATCTTTCTAGATTAATTGAGTCATTAGCTCGTTTAACTATCAATGCTGGGAGTAAATTCGCTGCACTTGGCTGTTTTCCTGTAGTTTTATTTATAATGGTAAGACTTGGTATTTTAACCACTGGTTGACGTGTACAAAATTCCCTTACGATTATTAGCTGATTCAGTAAGAGAATATAATGAATGTTGAAAACAATTATAATATTCAGTATCTATTAACTTTATTGCTGAAATATTTCGTTCTAAATCGCGCGGTTCTTTCATACTCGTCCATCGATAAACGTTTTTTATTTAAGCTTAGATATTTATATCTGCTTCAATTTTGGTATCTTCCTTTACAGTATCATGATCATCAGTTTCATCTAAGATCCTCAAGGTGTACCGTATTCATCAGTATCATCAATATTTTCATTTGTAGCTTACTTCGTCACTAGGTATCTCATCATCAGAGAAATGCAGAGTGTTTCCACGAATCTTGATCTTCTGATGCTGATATAGATCCAAGTGAGCTTCAGTAAGCAATTTGCTGTCGTTAATTCCTCAGCAATTAGTAGTTGATTATCTATGAAGAATTGAAGGTAAAGTTTGTGCTTTAAGATAATAGATTGCAGGAAAATTGATTTTACAACATAATTCTGGAATTAAATGTTCTTCAGGTTATCACGTTTTTCGTTTGTTGGGGGATATAGGTGCCCTTTTTTTATGAAATTTATTTTATCAGAGATTGGCTTTACTTCGAGAAGTGGTTGTGTCATATTAGAAATTTCAATTTTATGTTTTTTCATGAAAATAATGGGAATAACATATGTAATCATCAGTGGGAAAAGTTGATTGAGGATTTAGAGCATGACAACACTCGTGTTACGACATAAATATTTCCGTTGCTGATCGATAGTTAGGAGACACTAATCCCAATCAGAATAATTTTACTAAAATTACGTCATCGATTCCATTTGTTATTGCATTTTGTGGAATATTTCTTGGGATATACTTTTTTCTAATGATTTATAATTTCGTATAACTGACCAATTAGTTTCTCCATCTTTATCAGTTGGAACAATTAAAAATTGTTTTCTTTACTTTGAGAATCAAAAAACTCATAAATTCTTTAGAAGTGATAGGATTCTTTGAAAATTACCAATGGAAAATGACGAGTTCTTGGATTTCCTCGGAAGACAATTTTAAACATTTAAAGTTAGTTTGAAGCTTACATTCACTCGACCCATTTTCATATAAATTTGAAATTCTGGTAGTTTTGGAATTTTTTACTTGAGAGTATGGGCAAAACTAGAAGAGCTTTTAAGAGAATTATATAACACGCGATCTCTGTTTTCGTAGGAACTGGATACATAGGTTTTGCTTCAATGATATGAAGATAAATATCTTCATCAGATGATGGAAAGGCATTTTGAAACGCTCTTGGATAAATTATATCATAAGAACGTTTATTGCCCGGTTCTCCTACTTTTTTTATTTTCAGGGTGATTCTTCCTGCCAATATTTTAAGCACTGAAATGCAAAAAAATCATATAAAAAAATCAATGCACTTTCGTTTAGGGCACATTGTTTCTACAGGTCATTACGGGGTATTTTGACATTAGAAAATTCAACATTGCTCTTTGTACAAAAATTTCCAATACAAATGGAGCCAAGCCTTCTATATTGACTGGACTATAACTAGACTCAAACTAATGAGTTAGCAGATTTACGAGCTGCTGTCTTACCAGAAAGGTTGATCTTTGTGAGTGTCCTTCGTCAGAGCGACTTTTCATAATGAGGATATTCCAGTTTTGACCATCGGGTTTAACAATGAATTTATAATGCTATTTTACTATTGTACAGATAAGCACGGACAAATTTACCTCGAACGTGAAAATATACAATAAAATAACGGAGGAATTTCCCAATTTACAACTGCTTGAATGCAGTGCACACTAAAAGTAAATACCTTAAAACCCCTGTAAATAATATTTACATTTCTATTCTTCAAATTGTTGAAGTAACAGTTCAGCAAAACCCATACCTATTCTGAACAGGCCATTTCTGTTATTGAAATTTGTATGATATATCGAGCAAGTTGATGCTCTCAAAAATTATTCTGGGACGTTAAATATTATTTCATTATAAATTTAAGAGCTCTACATTGTTGAATAGGTTTTTCTACTTAACCGTATTAATTTTTATTCCTTAATTATTCTAAATTGTTGAGTTATGCATTTTTAAAATCCTAGAAATCGTGCTCTGGGACCACATTTAACAAGTTGATGCTCTCAAAAAATGTACATAAATCTATATATAAAGAATCAAGTTTTAGTTAATACTTATAATAATCGAACGTAACATGGTAGAAGGGGTAGAGAATTAGTGGTGGGGAGCCCGAAAGTATTGGAGCAATTGAGGAACTCTTCTATCAGTTCAACGATAGTAAAATAAGGAGTCGGATAGAAGTTGAGCTGGTCTAACGTATTTCATCGATTTATCTAGGTAATATTATAAGGTAATATTTTTATACACTCTGCCTATTTAGAATATATAAATTATAGATGATCATGTTGCTAATTCAAAACCTCTCTTTTTCTTTAATTATTACAGGAGAATTGTCCATGAAGTAAGTTAAATGCATTGATATGTATCAGGAAACGCCCGGATTATGCTCCAACAGCTAGCTCTGACGAGGAATCTGAAGAGGAAGATTTTCACTATAAATGTGCCACCAAGGCTAGTGCTGGTGGCGATGGAGAAAACATTGATGCTGAAGCATGTCATTCAAAGTCTAGTAATGAAGAAGATCCACGATCAGGTCAATTAACTCGTTTAGAACGACAATAGAAGTGGAAGTAGAAATACGTGCTGAAAGGCATCGTAGAATCCATGAGCCTGGAATCCTTGAAGCCGAACCAATCGAAAGATTTAGAAAAAAATTAAATTAGAAAGCTCCGATTCGTCAGAAGACGAAGAATTATCTGACTCAGAAATCGAAAGACGACGAGACGCTTTTAAGCAACGACTTTTATCAAAGAAGGACAATGAAGAAGTTATGACACATAAAGATGAAAGAGAAATGTCAGGATTGAGTTCTGGAGAATACTGAAATTCAGTTGAGAAAAGAGACACTCCCTTTTCAAGGTTAGTATATAAACAAAATATTTGCTTATTTGCTAATACTGAATTTCTCGGAATATAATATTATAATCGAAGTTAGTATATAAACAAATATTTTCGTATTTGCATGCGTCGGCGAATTATGTTTGTTTGGCGGATAAACTTATTTAGAAATTTTTGAAATGGATATAATTAGTTTCAAAAATTAATATAGAAGTTATTAGTTAATTTTGAGTGTTTGAATTTTTTTAAATTATTAATTATTCATTATTATATACAGATCTATTTTTTCTAACATATAACGGTACGAAAAATTTTTTGCATTATTGTATAGTATAAGTCATAAATGGTGTAATTCTCCGCTTTTATAAGTAAAAGCAAAACGATAGTATTTTCACCATCTTTTGCATTTTTTATGTACTTATGTTGAGATGTGTTAAGTGATTTTTTATTTTTCTATAAATAAATGAATATTTATAAATTTGAAATGTTCGTAGTGTGTACTGTATCCCATTTCAAATCTCAATTAAACTCATAATTTTTTTTATCATTTATCTAGATTTATTACATGATGGCGATTGAAGAGGAGCTTACACCCGCGTGACTATCAAATTGAATTGTTTGAAAAAGCTGTGAGAGGCAATGTGATTTTATATCTACCAACTGGTTCTGGGAAAACTTTTATTGCACTAATGTTGATAAACACACATGAGTGCTGATTTAAGAAAACCATGGGATAAAGATAAAAAACTAACTGTATTCTTGGTAAATACAGTTCCTTTAGTCAATCAACATGTGAGTGCATTTCTCGTCAAACAGACTTAAAATGTTGCGCATATTCTGGAGATGTGAATGTTAATTTTTGGTCGAAAGATCAATGGAATAATGAGTTTAAAGAAAATCAAGTGAGTACTAATTAAATCATTATCTCGTTAAAGTTAAACTGTTAAAAATACTGTACACGTCATCAATTTAAAAAAAATTATTTTACAGGTTTTAGTAATGACATCTCAATATTGTTGGATTTGTTAACCAAGTCGTTCTTACCATTGCCACGAATAAATCTCATTATTTTTGATGAATGTCATCATGGAGTCAAAGATCATCCAATGCGGCAGATAATGAAATCATTTGAAGTTTTTGATGAAGCTCAACATCCAAAGATATTGGGTTTGACAGCAACCTTAATAAATTCTAATATTAATGCTATCAAGTTACAGTGCCAGTAAAAGTCTGGAGAATACTTTTCATGCTAAGTTGTCTCAGTCGATAGTATTTCAATTAAAATAGATATGGAAATCCACGTGAAAAAATTATTGAGTACAATTCACCGGTAGAGAGCGATATTTTCCGAAATTACGCGCAATAATCAAGTCTGCTAGTAGCTTGCTAAGTATATTAGATATAAAAAAAAATTATATCAATGAATCCAGTCCCGAGTTTCAACCTATGTCCCCCAACAAACGAAAACGTGATAACCTTGAAGAACATTTAATTCCAGATTATGTTGTAAAATCAATTTCCTGCAATCTATTATCTTAAAGCACAAACTTTACCTTCAATTCTTCATAGAATTAATCAACTACTAATTGCTGAGGAATTACGACAGCAAATTGCTACTGAAGCTCAACTTGGATCTATATCAGCATCAGAAGATCAAGATTCGTGGGAAAACTCTGCATTTCTCTGATGATGAGATACCTAGTGACGAAGAAGCTACAAATGAAAATATTGATGATACTGATGAATACGGTACACACATTGAGGATATCTTAGATGACACTGATGATCATGATACTGTAAAGGAAGATACCAAAATTGAAGCAGATATAAATATCTTAAGCTTAAATAAAAACGTTTATCGATGGACGAGTATGAAAGAACCGAGCGATTTAGAACGAAATATTTCAAAAAATTTCTAAATGAGTTTATCCGCCAAACAAACATAATTCGCCGACGCATGCAAATACGAAAATATTTTGTTTATATACTACCCTTGAAAGGGAGTGTCTCTTTTCTCAACTGAATTTCAGTATTCTTCAGAACTCGATCCTGACATTTCTTCTTCATCTTTATGTGTCATAACTTCTCATTGTCCTTCTTTGATAAAAGTCGTTGCTTCAGAGCGTCTCGTCGTCTTTCGATTTCTGAGTCAGATAATTCTTCGTCTTCTGACGAATCGGAACTTTCTAATTTAATTTTTTTTCTCGATCTTTCGATTGGTTCGGCTTCAAGGATTCCAGGCTCATGGATTCTACGATGCCTTTCAGCACGTATTTCTACTTCCACTTCTTGCTGTCGTTCTAAACGAGTTAATTGACCTGATCGTGGATCTTCTTCATTACTAGACTTTGAATGACATGCTTCAGCATCAATGTTTTCTCCATCGCCACCAGCACTAGCCTTGGTAATACATTTTTCAAGAAAATCTTCTTCCGATTCCTCGTCAGAGCTAGCTGTTGGAGCATAATCTGGGCGTTTTCCTGATACATATCTATGCACTTTTAATTTATTTATGGACTTGGAGCGTTCTTTATCATTAATGCATGACGAAATTAATAAATTTAGTAAAAAGTGCCCAAGCAGGCTATTCGTGTCCTTTATGAAACTCCAGGTATTAAACCACGATTTTCGAAAATTAAAATTGATGAAAATACTAAAAAAATATTGGTAACTTTAGAAATTAAAACTCTCGGTAAATATCGCTATTTTCATGGATTTGGCAAGACTATAAAATTAGCAAAGTAGGCGCAGCAAAACGAGCTCTAAAATTTCTTCAAAAATGTAATTAACAAATTTATTCAAATGGTGTGAGGAAAAAAGATTGTAAATTAATTGTATCTTACAATAATTATGTACTTTATTTAAAAGATAAATAATAAAAATGTTTTGACTATTATTTCTTAAATTATGTTTTTCCTTTTCTTGAGCGATGGTTTTTCAAAAACTTGTTTCATTCCAGTTGCTTGATTATTATGAAATTTAAGATTTTGAGCAGTCTCTGATATCCAAGAAGAATCAAATTGCGTTGTATCTTGATCAACCAAATGAGTATATTTGGTTCTTCCACTACGGCCAAAGTTTTAACTTGCATGACTTTAGGTAAAATTGTTTTATCAAAATGATCTTCCAATGTTGCACCAGAAAAATCTCGTTTGAATATATTCTCCTCTTTATCCAAGTAAAACGCACCACGATGATAATATTTCTGTAGAAATTTATATTTTCCTTTGGCTGCTTTGTTTGTGACTACTTTCGGATTTAATCTAGCTTCTTGACGGCGTTCTTCTTCAGTTAGATTTCGAATTCTTTCAATTTCCAGAGGTTCTTTTTCAACTCTGTAAAGAGAATTTAATGTATTAAAGAAATAATTGTTTAAGTTGATTTGTTTTAGTAATTATTGAAATTTTACGTACACTTCACGTTCTTCACGATCATGCTTTATTCTTTTCAGTTCACGCAGTTTCCAAGCTTCATATTCGAGTTCATCATTTTCATCATCTGTACAAACGTCTTCTATTTTACCTTCATTAGAATCAACCATTTTTTCACCTTGAGTTTCTTTACGAATTGCTTCCTCAACCATCTGCAAAAAGTGAAAAGAATAGTTATTTTGTCATATTATTTTTAATAAAAATTAACATCATAAATATTATAATTACCCTTAATGTTTGTCTTTTTCGTTCTTCTGCCATTTTTCTACTTTCAATTTCAGCTTGTTTTTGTTTCATAGCTTCTTTTTCTCGTTCCATTACTGTAATTCTATCTTTGTTTCTTACAAATACTGGTTTTAATCTAGGTCCAGTTTCTTCTTCAGAATCTGTATACTCTTCGTATTCTGAACTCTCTTCAGAACTCAATCCTGACATTTCTTCTTCATTGTCCTTCTTCGATAAAACTCGTTGCTTCAGAGCGTCTCGTCGTCTTTCGATTTCTGAGTCAGGTAATTCTTCGTCTCCTGACGAATCGGAGCTTTCTAATTTAATTTTTTTTCTCGATCTTTCGATTGGTTCAGCCCGTATTTCGACTTCCACTTCTTGTGGATCTTCTTTATTACTAGACATTGGATGACATGTTTCAGCATCAATATGTTCCCCGTCATCACCAGCACTAGCCTTGGTGGCACATTTATAGTGAAAATCTTCCTCTTCAGATTCCTCGTCAGAGCTAGCTGTTGGAGCATAATCCGGGCGTTTTCCTGATATATACCGATGCACTTTTACTTTCTTCATGGACAATTCTCCTGTAATAATTAAAAAAAAAGAGAGGTTTTGAATTAGCAACATGATCATCTATAATTTATAATATTCTAAATAGGCTAAATGCATAGAAATATTACCTTTATCATTTTTAACAGGGATAGCACCTGCAGTACTTTGAATACCCATAGGTGCAGGTGCCAATGAACTATTCGTGACAAAATAATCCATCATCATTTTTAAATTTTAATGTTTTTAATTCTTTATAAATAAATAATATAAAATATCAATATCGTGGTCAAGTCACAACATTCGTTTCACTGTTTTCAGACACACACAAAAACTGCAAAAATCAATTTATAAATCTTCTAGCAATCTTATTCTGATAACGTCGAAAATTACGTTAATAATGTTACTGAGACTCATTAAAATAAATTTTACTGAATAAATAATCTTAAAACGTAGATAAATTGATTGAAATACGTTAGACCAGCTTAACTTCTATCCGACTCCTTATTTTACTGTCGTCGAACTGAGAAGAGTTCCTCAATTGCTCCAATACTTTCGGGCTCCCCACCACTAATTCTCTACCCCTTCTACCATGTTTTGTACTACTGCGCAAGCGTACAAGAATACATGAAGAGCATCTGAGAGCTGTCTTCCATCCAACTATATGCATATTGCTATAGTATGAGTTGATAACACAACTACGTAAAATTATTAAAGATAGCGATATCGTTCGAAACCCGTCATGCAAATTCAATTAATGTAACTCGGATTCATACAATGCATCTAAAAACGATATAAAAGTTTTATAAATTCGAAGTAGTAATTTTTTGAAAAATGAAAAAACAACTATTAAGTAAAATTAAAATTATATCTTGATGGATACATTATTTATATATTTACAGATTGACACAAAAATATTTCATTTTTTAATATATTTACGCATTGAGATAAATCTTAACAAAGTAAGAAAAATGAATAAAAGTAAATTTTATGTTAAAAAATATTCACTGAAAATATATTCAAAAATTACATGTATAAATATTATGTACTCTATTGAGTATTACGTATTCATGACAATTAAAAAATTTATAGAAATAATCTTAAAGGTTACTGTAACTTCATTCTTCATAATCCCATTTGTAAAATACATTCATTTGATATAGAACTTTTCTTTATACAGAAAGAATTATTTTTCACTTAATAAAAATTTAACTTACAGATCAGTTATATTTCATTAAAGTCGTCATGGAACGTTATTGATCTCTATTTAAAATTCTTGATTAAATTTTATTTAACAAAGTTAAAATATAACAACAATGATTGCCTAACCGGTTCATCTCGAGTAAACATTCTACCTGATAAAAATCACAATGTCAGGACTTTTGATTGAGAATAATTTTTAATTGTCTGGCGGTGTTTGTGTATATCTTTTAATAAAAAAAACAAATTTTCATGAATAAATAAAAAAAATTACCAATTACTATTACCATTTATTATTTATTTGCCTGAATTAAGTAAATGAATAATTACCAACTTTAAGAAATTGATGATTTTGTAGGTATTTTGTTCATCAAATAATTAATAAAATAATATTGAACAAGAAAACTACATTTTTTTTATCGAAAATACGATTTTTACATTCCGATAGTTTGTGTCCTTTTCTAGCGCGTGATGCCGCTTATAGTGTCGTCTCGCTTAGATACACAGGACCACTGAATGCAAAAAAATCAACGCACTTTCGTTTTTAGGGCACATTTTTTCTACAGGTCATTACGGGTATTTTGACATTAGAAAATTCAACATTGCTCTTTGTACAAAAATTTCCAATACAAATGGAGCCAAGCCTTCTATATTGACTGGACTATAACTAGACTCAAACATAATGAGTTAGCAGATTTACGAGCTGCTGTCTTACCCAGAAAGGTTGATCTTTGTGAGTGTCCTTCGTCAGAGCGACTTTTCATAATGAGGAAATTCCAGGTTTTGACCATCGGGTTTAACAATGAATTTTTATAATGCTATTTTACTATTGTACAGATAAGCACGGACAAATTTACCTCGAACGTGAAAATATACAATAAAATAACGGAGGAATTTCCCAATTTACAACTGCTTGAATGCAGTGCACACTAAAAGTAAATACCTTAAAACCCCTGTAAATAAT